AAGAATTTAATTCCCACTATATTAGACAGAAGTTCAATAAAAGATGGTTGCAAGCTACTTTTTGTTTTTGTTTTTTATAATGATATTTGGTTCATATTTTCTGGAAGTATAAAATAAGTACTGTTTGAATGTTGTGATTTAAAATATTGAAATCTAAATATTAAACATGAGAGAATACTTAATGGTTTACTTATAAATAACTATATGAGGCAGATACTTAATATATGATAAAATAACTGGTTATTTTAAAAATCTGGGATGATTTCTTTAAAGGTCCACAAAGGAAAAAATTCTCAAATCCGGTATGTACTATGTCATCACTATATGATCATCTTTTATATCCTTATTTTAATCAAATTTCATTTGTTTATATGTATCTAAACCTTCTTTCTTAAGGCATTCAATCTTTCCACTTTCTTAATCAACACTTCTGACAATAAATTTTCAAATATATTCAAGATCACTTCAAAAAAAGTATGTTTTTTTAACTAAGATAGTCTTCTGCTTAAAAAAAAAGATTTAAAAATCTGAGACCAAAAAATCTCTGTAAATTACCTTTTGAGGATGAAAGTTTGTTTTCTTCTATATTTTGATGAGAGAGATCTAGAGGATTTTGGATATTTACTTCTCATCCAATAAGAAATAAAAAAAAACTATTCTTAAAATAATAGTTTCAAATTTGAAATTCAGCCTATTTATTTTTCATGAAATATTAAATAACAAAAGCCAAAAATGCTGTACATATTTTTTTTCTTCTAGTTTAAGGAGAAACTGCTTTATGTGGATTGACACCTCACATACTCTGAGTTTAAGAAGTTAGCTTTATCTGAGAAGTCACTATTTTTAGGTCCAGCTGTAATGTTTCTAATTTTGGTACTCCGAGTAGTGGGTGCTTCCTTTCCCAGAAGGCTCTGTATTCTCAGCATGTGCAGGTCAATTTGACATAAAGTTACCTACAAGGAGCAACAGGCCCATTGCAGGCTGTGTTTCTAACCTGAAAATTATGAGCAGGTATTGGGAGCCACAGGCTGTATTTGGGAGCCAGCTGCATGTCAGGACAAGCGTGGATTGTGGTCCCTGGAGGCTGGGAGAGCACAATGCTTGAATTTAATTTCTTCGAGAGATAAGAAGAAAAAAATAACTTTCTACCTGACAAGATTGACAACTTATTAAATCACTATCTTCAAAAGTGTGCTGGACAGTTTAACATTTACTTTTCAAAGATGATGATCAAGGAAACATCTCTACGAAGGGACCCGGATTTAAGGGGAGAGTTAGCTTTCCTGGCAAGGGGCTGTGATTTTGTTCTCCCATCACGGTTTAAGAAGCGGCTGAAGTCATTTCAGCAGACTCAGGTTTGAAACTTGGGTGTTTCTTTTAAAATATTTTTATTACTAATAAAACCACCCAGAGAACTCACAAATAATTTTACAGCTCACTTGTATCTTGATACAAGTCCTCTATTCAGTTATTTGCAGAAAGCTATTCGTAGAAGGATTCCAACAGGTTTAAAAATAGACTTTCTGGACCTGGAGTACAGTACTCACATTTTCCTCTTGTAGAAAGGGAATCCAGTTTTAGAGACAATGAATGCAACTTAACATTTTATAATTTAGCTGAAAAAATACTAGAATTTTTAATAGAAATACCTTTGAGAGATTAGAATTTCTTAGTTAAAAGCCTTGTTTGCACTTTGAATCAATCAACTGTTTGTATTAACATACATATATCTGTAATGAATATTGTTTAAAAAGAATATTGATCCTGGTAATCTTTTTTAAAGGAAGACGTATTTTTATAGAGAGACAACTGTATGTGTGTAATACAATATATGTATGTAGATAACAAAGGATGGCAATTACTTCTGTGCTATGAGAAAATGTGTTCCCTTAGCAAGCTGTAAGACTGAGTCATTTTTGCCTGTGATGACTACTTTGCAGTCTGTGCTTTCTTGCTTGTATCCTTGTGGCCAGTGTCTCACCAAACACGATGCCTAACATTGAGTGCAATACAAATCAAGGGCTGTACAAATGCTGGCCATCCAAAATCCAGCAAGAAATCATGGTTTCATAGTTATTCTGACCCAGAATGATTTCAAATTATTTGGGTGAACCATATGAAATTGCTTTTTTGTTTTTTCAAGCCAAAAATGGCCAGATAATGGAAATGCTGCAGTGACATAATAGTATAAGGATACTATTCAGAATGAGTATCTAAATGATACTGTGTTTATAGGGAAAGACTGAAATGGAGAACTGAGGTACTTTCCCCAGCTAATTCTGTTTTAATGCAGCTCCTAGATAGTACTGAAACAGCTTTTTTCAAAGTGAACAGATGCTAAACATGCCAGTAAATCTGACAAAATTTATATTACCAAGGTTTATTCTATGATGTTTATAAATGGTCAGTTTTATTAAACTGCTTTAAGGTTTCAATTAGGTTTCTCCTATTGAACTCAATGGAAAGTAAATTGATATACCTGAAAGTTCAAAATAAGTGCATTATTTGTCTATTTTCCTTTTAAATGTTAACATCAGCTTTATTAATGTGGAATTAACCAATGAATTAGTAAATACTTGCCTATCAGTGAATTGCTCCATGTTAAGAACACTAAGAAAAGCAGACTAGAATATTATATAATGAAATACTCTCCTACTCAAAAACTTTGACAGCCAATGTTTGTTCTGTCAAAGCAGAAGCACAGAGTTAACACTGAAGGCCTTGCTCTAAACTTTCCCCACTAGTATGTGTTCACAAGACTATCAAGTTTCATTCCACTGGCACCACTGGTCTTATTCCTATGAAATTATCCATAACTGCCTGGATATCACATGATTGAAAACATTTTGGGGTAACAAAAAAAAGAATTTTGATGGTTGCACACTTGTAGTTTCACAAGTCTCTTTCAGCATAGAATAATGGAAATGAAATGGCACTAATATAAATGACCTGGTTAAAGCCCCTGAAGAATTCTGTTTCTTATTTTAGTATTTTAAGAGCACTTTCTACTGGTACTGACTCATAAGACAATATATTTGCAAATTTAACATTAAGTCAGAGAAAAATGTTTACTTAGAATAGATTATCAGTTTCTTAAATCAACAGTGGTTTGTAGACTTTAAGTTACTCTACAAATGTAAATGATTATTTTATTTATTATTAACTCTGAAGGACCCTGCCAAATTATGCTTAATCTAATCTTTTGAGAACCCCACCCTTTGGTCTTGTCACTCATTTTCTTATATGAGGACAGATCTGTGCCCGGCATGGTTCTGAACCTTTTACGTACATTACATCCTATAATTTCTTTAATCCTCACAACAACCTTTCAAGAAGTAGGGGTTGTATTTTGTTTTATTACTGAAACTTTTCTGAGGTCACAACTAGTAACTCATCACTGTTTTCTAAGTTTTTCATGTTTTATTAGCATCATTTCCCTCTGTGCTGTTTCTTCCTTGACTATTGCTTTATATGGGTAACATCCTGATACTGCAGCAAAGGCTTGGTGTGACAACTGGCCTTTATGACCCCAACAGTATTAAATACATGAGCAGACTCCACTCTGTGTATTAAAATCAGATGTTAACACATGGGAAATAGGCCATGTATGACAAAAGTAGAAGATTTAACCATTTTCATCAGGTATTTATGTGTGTGAAACTTGTCTTCCTATAAAACTTTATATTCCTATAAAACATGCTTTTTAATGGTAGCTAAGATTTTTATCTTGAATTTAAAATGTATGTTCTAAGCCTGTATGTCAAGAGGAAATATGATATTTGAATCTACTTCTTACAGATCAGTCATTGTTCAAACTCGAGGGATGGCATTAGGGTAATTTAAGAAAGAAGGACATTTGAGTAGTACTTTGTGTTCACAGTGAATTTAAAATAAATTTAGCTAGTCAGCAGTCATGTCCATCTTTCATACTTTATGTAGCATCTAATACAGTGCCGTGTTCATGAGCACTGATAAATAATTTGCCTTGATAAATAATTTGGTTATTATTATTATGAGAACTCTGAAAATCTTCATGGAATCTTTTTGCTTTTTCTGCTTGGGAACTAAATTTCGTCTTCATTGGTAAGTAGACTCCTGCCTGAATGATGGTGTATCTCTCCTCCCCTTTTCTAAATCATGAGCAATCTCAATCTCACCATCCCTCCTCCCTCTTTTTTTTTTTTTTTTTTTTTTTTTACTGTCCTTTCTGATCTCTCTTTATGGTACACCACATCAAATCCTTTTTGGAAAAAGGAAGGATGTAAACTATAAGTTAGTTAATGATCTGTAAAGGGAGTTTGTTTGTGGCGAAATTAATGAACATGGTCCTTGCCTTTTAGAGCATACCAAAAATGAGATAAATGTATGTCTTAGAAAAAAGTGGCATGCCCCCAGGGGTAAGTGAATTAGCCAGGTAAAGAACAGTCCAGAACTAAAATGCTTTAATTTTCTTAACATCAGGGGCTGGCAGTGAATCCACCTTGGCAAAGTTAAACTAGAGAAGAAGGTGAAAGGAGTACCTGCCCCAAATACATTTTAGATCTATATATTTTAAAAGAAGAACTCACTGTTTTTGCCTAGAAGAGGTAGAAATTCACAGAAAAACCAAGAATAACCTTCAAAAAGAATTTACTAATCCATTTCCAACAAACTGAGAATACACTTCAAGATCTTTAACATATCATATGACAATTGCTCTTTGATTATTTTGAAATGTCTGCCATGCGATTGATGAGAAAATGCACTGCAGGACTTTTTTAACATAAATCTGTGTGAACTTGCGTACTGACAGAAAATTAATATATTAACTTATTTAGTGTGCATAAGCATTTCCTAGAAACATGCTTACCACCCTCTGGAATAGAGTGAGTTCTCAATCTCTACTGTCTCTAATGGTGGTTTCTTGTATTTACACCCAACTTCCTAATTACTGGTGAGGAGTCTCAGGAATTATATACTGTTTAGAGTGTTTGTGTCTCATAATCACATTTTCCTTTCAGATTCAAAATAAACCAGAAAAGAAACCTGGATCACCACTTCCACCTCCAGCCGCCTTTCCAAGTAGTCCCCGACCTCTCTCCCCTGTTCCTCATGTGAATAATGTTGTGAATGCACCATTGTCTGTAAACATTCCACGGTTCTACTTTCCTGAAGGACTCCCAGACACCTGCAGTAACCACGAACAGATTCTAAGCAGAATTGAAACTGCTTTCATGGATATTGAAGATCAGAAAGCAGACATTTATGAAATGGGGAAAATTGCAAAGGTAATATAACTACTAAAGATTTATAATCTCCCTTTCTTTAGCAACCCCAGTCTCCCCCTCTTCACTGTCTTTGCTCTCTATTTTTTAAACATGCACGGATTTTTTTCCATGTTGAAAAAATTTATTTGATTCTGATACATTCTTATTTCATGGAACTCTTAAGTTTGAAAAAAAAAAAATGGAAGCTCACTACCTTGCCAAGCCTTTGGAGGTAACGTATTAACTGTATAATGCCACATGAAGTATTTTTAATATCGGGAACAATTTGTGTGAGGGAGACAGGAGTTTTCATGGATTGCTTCAGGTAGGCAGACAAGGAGAAACTGTCCCAGTTAAGGCATAGTAGTTACCTGGTTCGGTGCTGTTGTCCCATGTCTGGAGAGCCCATCCAGGTGATGAGTGCGTCACTGTCACAGACCTACAGCCTAGCCTGTTTTGAATACAGGTCCACTGGATTGACCTTCTTCCTCTGAATACTCCCAAACCCTTACATGAGGAGTCCATTCTCCCCGTGCCTTCCTCCTTCCCTGCCTCCACATCCCTCCTGGTCTGGCCCTCCAGCCCTGTACTGTGGTAGCCCTGCCCTGCTCCACAGCTCAGTAGCCCACTAGCACTCCATAGATTGAGTGAGAGGAGAGCAGAAAGCCTGATGACCTCATGATGGTCAAGGGAGGGAAGGGGTCTCTGGATGGTGGGGAGCCAGAGAAGGACTTTGCTACTTAGGTGCAGTGAGGATCAGTCTGTTAGTGGCATCAGGAAACCCCCCCAGTGTTGAAGCTGACAACATGGATAGTTTGAAAAGATAGAAAACTGTTTTGTTGTCTAAATGCTGATTTGGGTTCACGACACCATGTACTGCATTTTTCATTCTTGAATTTGACTATTTAATCCTTTCTACTTGTCACTAAATGTAATTGTTTTAGTTTTATGGCATGATGATAGCATATGTGTTCAGGCTTTAGCTGTTCTGTTTAAAGATTGAAAAAAGTGGAAAACGGGCCGGCCCATGGCTCACTTGGGAGAGTGCGGTGCTGATAACACCAAGGCCACGGGTTCAGATCCCTACATAGGGATGGCCGGTTGGCTCACTTGGGAGAGCATGGTGCTGACGACACCAAATCAAGGGTTAAGATCCCCTTACTGGTCATCTTTTAAAAAAAAAAAAGTGGAAAACATCTTTGTACATTTAAGTCTGTATTATAATAAGCAAAAAGATTGTGTGTATGTACGTTTAATTTAACATGACAGGCACTAGGACGTCTGCCCTTTTAAGGCAGTTTCATTAAGGGTTTTTGTTTTTTAAAGTTTTTTGCCATCTGTCCTGTGCAATATGCCATGAAGAATATTGTCTTAAAATTCAAGGCCACAAAAACAATGTTTGGGGGAGAAAAAAGAAAAAAAATGCCAGCTAATCACATCAAGCTCACTGCCTGTCAGATTGTTGATATATAACTTCTGTAAATAACTTTTTTTGAGAAGGAAATAAAATCAGCTGGAACTGAACCCTAAAAAAAAAGAAAGAAAGAAAACTATTTTGTTTAACCATAATAGAAGGCATTTACATAACAATTTACTGTTTATACCTAATAATCATGTGACACAATAGCCATTATACATATTTATATCTGTTTAACTTGTCTTACTTGTAATTGATTGTATCCCTAAATTTCATGTTTGGACATCAAGCCTTTGTGTTCATTGCTCTTAGACCTTAATTGTCAGCTCTGGTAGCAAGGTAAACTGCCTGTATCTTTAAAAAGTTAAAACAAACATTGCATATAAAAATGAGGGTTTGTATATAATGACCTCAAAAAGTATCTTGATTGTGTTGGTTTGTATTGTTTTGTTTTTGAGTGACTGTATCAGCTCATTTTATTGAATTTTGCCTATTTATGCTTAAAACCATTCATTAAAAAAATTGATTTAGTCATGTCTTCCAGTTAGCTAATTCTCATTTAATCCAGCTTTTACTTCACTATCACAGTCTGTTAGCACACACAAAATTATCCTTATTTTCAACAATTCTTTACAGTGAAAGTCTTTTTTTGCCACTAGGCAGTGAACTCTGTTACTGTCCATATTCTTACAGCAGATTGGCATGGGAAAAGGAAAAAGAGAGGCACCCTTGAAGGGGCAAGAAGACAAGAGGTTGTCAGAGCAATAAATGAATGTTTTTATGGATTCTTGTAGTTTATAAAACTATTTGCAAGGCCAGCTTCAGTTTATAACCTACTCTTAGTGGCTCTTAAGTGTAGCTGTAAAGATTGAAATCTGTTTTTCAAGTGTATAGAAAACTGTGTTTATGAAATCTGCATCTGTTGGTGAAGTTTAGCTCATTCATCTTAGTCCTCAAACATCCCTGGAGAGCTCCATGTCCAAGTCTGGTTAAGTTCTCAGTGTGTAGTTTGTACTTTTTTCCATAGCTTTAAGTGATGTTAGAGAAGAAATGAATAGGGAATGAATCTAAGAGGGACAAAAGCAGTGTAGGAACAGAAACTGAGCAACAGTGAGAAAAGCATTTGTCACAGACTGGGCCAGAGGATTCATCGTGGAGTTTTAACTACTAGCAGAAAGTTGAGGAAAAATAATAAAACTCTCTTTAAACCGTACAAAGCCCTCCAGCTCTTCTCTTGTGGCTGATGTAGCACCATCTCAACCCAGCATGCCTGTGGCCTGTAAGGTAGCCTCTGTACTTGAATTTCTTCATCTGCAAAATGGGATAAAAATACCTGCCTCTTCTGCGTGGGGATCATGTGAGGACTAAATGAAATAATAGGCATGAGACATTTTAAAATGTTGAAAGAGCATTACAAATACTGGGTAATCATCACCTGTGTGTAACATTAAACAACCTTGCTTTCAATTCTTTATTTCTTGGGCTATTCTTAGATCAAATTATAGGTGTTAATGAAGTTTTCTTTGCTTCAGTGACTTTGATTACCGCACATTGACTCTTCACTCCTCCATTAAACATGTTTCCTAAACCCATTTTCTTTTTTTTTTTTTTTCCTTTTTGTCTTTTTTTCGGGACCGGCAATGGATCGCACCCCTCGGTGTTGCGCCCGCACCTCGCTCAGCCAGTGAGCGGCCGGTCTGTATGTGGGATCCGAACCCTCGGCGGGAGCGCCGCTGCGCTCCCAAGCGGCGCCCTATAGCAGTGCGCCACCGGGCTGGCCCCTAAACCCATTTTCTTTTTTTTTTTTTTTCCTTTTTGTCTTTTTTTCGGGACCGGCAATGGATCGCACCCCTCGGTGTTGCGCCCGCACCTCGCTCAGCCAGTGAGCGGCCGGTCTGTATGTGGGATCCGAACCCTCGGCGGGAGCGCCGCTGCGCTCCCAAGCGGCGCACTATAGCAGTGCGCCACCGGGCTGGCCCCTAAACCCATTTTCTGTATCTCCGTGTATATTCCCACTTGTCAACCATTCTCTTCTTCTGCAAAAGAAGAGTCTTCACATTGATTTGTTCTCTCCTCTGTTAATAAAAGTTCTATTCTATTGCCTTCAGATTAATATCACTTACTTTTTGGGATCTTATTGGTCTCCTTGCTCCCTTTATCTTCATACTTTGATTTTTAAGCAGATGCAGGCTAGCCATATGTTTTTATTTTTTCCTTTGGCATTTTCTCCCAGGGCCTGATAACTTCACACTGCCTAACACTTGCCTACTCAGGGTACCCCTTATGAGAAAAATAAGCTGACCTTTCCAGTCTACTTCAAAACATTTTTGTTCTGTATCTTGTCTCTCAGGATTTTACGTTTACATTGTAATAAACTTATAAGTGTTAATCTATCAGTAAATTACTACTCCTTATGAGCTGACAGATAGGCATTTTAACAGGAGTCTTCTGGAGAAAAGACCTTAATTCAGGAATGAAAGTTGTTTAAAGGCCTGGCCACTTAGCTCAGTTGGTTAGAGCATGATGCTGATAACACCCAAGGTCCAGGGTTTGATCCCTGTACTGGCCAGCTGCCAAAAAAAAAAATTGTTTAATAGTGGAAGTGGCCACACAGGAGGTGATAGGCATGCCAGCCCCTGGAAGTATTTCAGCTGAGGATGGTGACTACTTCCCAGGGTTGAGCTAGGAGATTCCTGGTTCCTTCTAATTCTGAAAAATTCATGAGTCACTCTAATGGTGGAAGCTTCAAGCACTTTAGCAAGCCAATTTCAGTCTCTTCCTGTACTTTCTCCATTTGTGGCTCTCCCACCTCCGAAATACAGACTATTCTTTCAGCTTTTCCAGCAGTTGCCAATAACCCCACTAAGACTATCTAAAAGCATTTCCTTAGCAAACAATATTTTGTGTGAAAGGAGGGCTTGGGATTGGGGAAAGTGGATTTGACAGTTTACACACCCAAAGTATATTAATTGTGAGCTTTGTACCTTGGCAATCATAATTTATACAATAAACAAAATCACATGGTTGCTAAGCAACCCCTTTCCCTCATTCTTGACCTCAGTGGAGGTATTCAACCTCTGGACCTGAGAAATCTTTAAATCTTAAGTTCTACTCTGCAGAACATGCTTTAGTGGCCCTGGCAGCAACAGCCCCTTATTTCTGCCTTGTCCTTACCTCTCTTGCCTTGAATCTTGCCTTCCATATCCTCATCTGTGATATGAACCCAGCAGCCCTGACCCTTCTCTCAGAATAACTAATGTCAGACTAGGTACTCTTCAGGCTCCCGTGGAATCCCTGTGCACCGAGGCCTCACACCAGGAGCAATTTCACCTGAACCTAATGTGGGCACATATCTAGTCCGCCTCCAAAGAAGAAGCTTCCCTCTGTAGAATGGTGAAAGCTCAACAGATCCTGTATCTAATGTGAATAGTAGGAATAGCTTTATCTCATAACAAGATGTGACTCTGAAGAGTTCCAGATTCGGAATATGTTTTCTGTATATGTACAAAATTAGGAAGATTTGGAGACTATTTCTCTGCTAATATGTAGATGACATTATTACTAATAAGGAAGAATTTTCCCTGTAGGAAGAAAAGCAGGTAAATTTAGTAAGAATTCTTTCTTATAAGAGTAAAAGGATAATTTTTTTAAAAATTGAAAAGAAGAGCTTTTTATTGAAGAGAAAATAATAAATACTTTTCGGGGTATTGATGTTGTTTTTATATTCATTCCTGGTTCTTCCTAAGGCTTCTATAACATGTAGTCATTTGTGGTAGCTTCTAATATATAAATAAATGATAATAATAAAGGTGGCTGCACTTTTTTGCTCAAGGAATGAAGGACATATGCAGCCATGACATTTTAGTCATTATGTTTTCTTTCTAGAAAGTAGAAAATACATAATCTAAGAGTGGGTGGGAAGGGAGGCTGGTTGCTTTATCTCAGGATGGAGGGGGAGACACTATAAATGAACTTGGAGAAAAGGTAAATGGGTTTTCATTTTCTTCATTAAACATGTAATCCTCTTGTTTCTCCTCTGTTTCTCTGAATCTGCCCTAGTTGATACATTTGCCTGTGCCCCAGTTTTGTTCCCCCAAGAGCCCTTCTATCCACTGTGGCATGAAGGGTAAAAGCTACAAAGATCCTTTCTTTGATTGTGTCTTCTCTTCAGTACCTCTTGGCTTATTCTATATTTGGTTTTTTATTTGCAGGTCTGTGGCTTTCCTCTCTATTGGAAAGCCCCCATGTTCAGGGCTGCAGGGGGAGAGAAGACAGGATTTGTATCAGCACAGTCATTCATTGCCATGTGGAGAAAGTAAGTATGTGAGCCGTCACTCTGGGACTAGGCAAAGAATTCTGTGGTCCTCATAACATGCTTTATAAATGTCACTTATTTTACTCATGTATTCATTTTCCCCGTACCCTTTGTTACACAAGGAATATTCAATGATTCGCACCCATATATACCCACACACAATTTTTTTGACTCAAGCCTTTATTTTACATGTCTTTAAACAGTAAAGCAGATGTGCAGATTACCTCTTTAGTAACTATTTGATAGTTTCTTAGTTTTACTTGTTAAATTTGAGTCTCAGGGGGCTGGCCGGCTAGCTCAGTTGGTTAGATTACACTGCTGGCAACACCCAAGTTCAAGGGGTTCAGATCCAGCCGCCAAAATAGGTAGATAGATAGATAAATGTTTCAGGATTTGAATCTGACAGCAGTAACATAAAAGTCAATAAGGACTCTCCTTTAAGGGGAGCAACCCTGATGTGTCACATAAAAATATAGGTCCATTCTCATATGATCCAGTTTAAAATTACATATAGTCAATTCATTAAAAATAACCATGTTCTAATAGATTTAAATCATTAGTTTTTTTTTGTTTTTTTTTTAAAGATGACCGGTAAGGGGATCTTAACCCTTGACTTGGTGTTGTCAGCACCACGCTCACCCAGTGAGCGAACCGGCCATCCCTATGTGGGATCCGAACCCGGGGCCTTGGTGTTATTAGCACCGCACTCTACCGAGGGAGCCGCGGGCCGGCCCTAAATCATTAGTTTTTTTTTGTTTTTTTTTTAAAGATGACCGGTAAGGGGATCTTAACCCTTGACTTGGTGTTGTCAGCACCATGCTCACCCAGTGAGCGAACCGGCCATCCCTATGTGGGATCCGAACCCGGGGCCTTGGTGTTATTAGCACCGCACTCTACCGAGGGAGCCGCGGGCCGGCCCTAAATCATTAGTTTTTGAAAGCTCCAGTTAAGGAACAAAGGTCTAATATTTTATCAAGATATTCCTGGCTTTTAAAATCTTGACAGATTTTCTTGAATTCAAACCCAACTTTCTTATTTTTTTTTCTTCCTTCTTTTTTAGGAGTTATTTCTTGATATATTTATATATTTCAGGAGAATGTCACAGCCTGCCCCTTCTGTGTCTCTTAACTGATCAGCCCTCTTTCTACATGTTCTTCTCATCTCTTCTGGGCTAAATACCATTCCTAGTAAACGACTGGGAAATGCTGTTCACCTATTATTATTGTTATTATTATTATTTAAAATCAACATATAATTGGGCCAGCCCGGTGGCGCACTGCTACAGTGCACCGCTTGGGAAGCATGGCAGCGCTCCCGCTGAGGGTTCGGATCCCACCTACAGACCGGCCGCTCACTGGCTGAGCGAGATGCGGGAGCAACACCAAGGGTTGCGATCCCGTTGCCAGTCCCGGT